TTTTACCCACAATTCCCAAATCCAAAAGCTCTGAGCACAGAAATGAAAGTTTCCTATCATTCTTCTGATGGAGGTCCCCAATGGGAAGGGACGTGAGGCTGTTCATGGTCTTTGTTTTGTCACACAAATGCCACTCCATCCATCTCACTGCAGAGCTCTAGTGMTGGATCACAGGGGGCACCTGGATCCTGCTGGGTGAGGGTGGCAATGGCGCCCGCACAGGGTGACCTCCCCAAACACAAGCCCCCGAGCCCAAGGCCCAGCATGAGGGACCGTGGGCTGCACATGAAGCACCGTGTCCAGAGCTGGCGGCTGCAGCTCCGCATCATGTGGCCTCTTTTATGGCTCCTACGTTCTGCCCTGGGTGCCAGGCCACAAGCCCATGGGGTGCCAGGCCACAAGCCCCCGGGTGCCAGGCTGTGCCAGCACACACCGCAGGCGTGCAGTGGAGGGGGAGGAGGTGTCGCCACCTTGGGCAGTTGCTGCTTCTGGCTTGAAGGCCCCGGGGGGACTCAGAGCGTGACTGCAGTCAGAGTGCTCGGGCTGCAACCCTGGCTCTGCCACCTCCAGCTCCGCCTTCTGGGACAAGTCAGTAGCCTCTCTGAGGCCCAGCTTCTTCACCTGGGAAACGGGCTGCTCTGGGGAGCAGTGAGGACTAAGGACATCTCCTGGCCAACACAGAGTGGGCACAGCGGGCTGGGGCAATGCTCACACCCAAAGCCGGGCCGCGGGGTCTGGCCATGTGCCCAGGGACAGGGCACACCTATAAGGACAGGRCCTGTGACTTGAGGTGGACGCCAGGGGCTACAGGCCCTGAGGGAAAGCAGTCCCAACCCCCGGGGCAGTTACTTCCTGTCTCAGTCTCGCCTTTCAAAGGAGGGCCAGAAACCAGTTCTGCCGACGCCGCCTCCCAAGCCCAACACCGAAACCCTGCCTCTTAAGAGCCTCCCCAGTTCCATCCGGAGGCTCAGTGTGGAGGCCGAGCCTGGCGCGTCCTCACCTGAGGCCGTGGCCGCCGTCTCCTCGGCCAGCAGCCACTCCTTCTCCTGCTGCAGCCGCTGCAGCTCACGCTCATGGTGCCGCTGCAGCTGCTCCATCACCTGCTGGTGCGAGGACTCCATCTCCGCCAGGCTGCGCTCGCAGGCCTCCTGTGGGCCAGAGGCCAGGAGGTCACCGGTTGCGCCACTACCCAGGCCAGCAGCCCTTCCAGGCAAGAAGCCTCCGGCAGGCTCCTCAGCAGGACCTGGACCTGCCCACCAGCTGCACCTGCCCACCCGCCCACCCTCCTCACCCAGAAGCCTCAATCGCCACTCTCTGGCCTCAAACCCTGCAGGCTCCAGTCCCTGTCCCGCGGCTGGCCTTGTGGCCCATCCCTCCCAGCAACCCGCTATGAGAACGCAACCCTGCGCACGTCCATACTCTGAGCCTTGGCTCATGCTGTTCCCACTGCCCGGAATGCCCTGTCCTCTCCCTGGGGAGCGTGCCTGGCCTGYGGCCCAGTCAAGATGCCTCTCATAGCTCTGTCCCTGGGCAGCCCCTCCCGGCCTCCAAAGGTTCTGCTTCTGCCAGAATGTAACACCCCCAAACAGGGACCTCTGAGCCCTGGGGTCCAGGCCARGGCACAGCACACAGCGGATGCCCAGCAAACAAGCTGAAGTTCATGACGTAATACCAAACAGGGTTCTGTAGACGGGGGCAGGGGTTTTAAAGACTAGCGATGCCCACGGCTAGGAGTGCCCACCATGACGGACACGTGCGGGTGGATTTGCGCATCACTGCACAAATGTTTGTTTGGGTTTTGTTTTCTGTGGTGCTGGGGATGGAGCCCAGGGCCTTGWGCACGCAAGGCCAGCCCTCTCCCAGCTGAGCCACATCCCCGGCCCCGCGTCACCGCATTTGAACAATTTTATCCCTTGACTAGCAGGTCAACTCTGAAGTGGTCACACAGGGAGTCGCACAGGAAGCCACACGCGTACAGACTCGGGGCCAAGGGTATTCCTTGTGGAAGGTTGGCAACAGATGGAAACGAGAAACAACCTAAATGCCAGCGGGAGACCCTTAAATAAATGACGGCAGGGCACCTTCTGAAGGACTCCAGGCAGCTGCTAGGACACAGATGCCCCTCTAGCTGCTGCGGAGGGTGTCCCAGGAGCCAGGCCATGAAAGCTGGCCGTGACCATGCACACAAAGTGCTCCCGCTCACAGGCAAAGCACATCTGGCTCTGTGTCTAAGTCGCGTGTGAGAAAACAGAGACAGGCACAGACCGTGGGAGGGAGGAAAACAGCACCCCAAGATGTCCGCGCCCTACGCCCTGGGCCTGCGTCTCAGTCCATGGCAAGAGGAGTCAAGGCTGCGCGGGATGCAGGTTACTGGTCAGCTGACCACAAACTAGGAGATTAGGCTGGACTATGGGGCCAAATGCAATCACAGGGGAGCAGCAAGAGCCGAGGGAGATGTGACCAGGAAAGAGTGGTCACTGGGGCATGAAGTGACAAGGACCAGACTTCTCCTCTGCAGTCTTTGAAGATGAAGGAAGGGACCAGGAGCCAAGAACAGGCCTGCCACCAGAAGTGGGACGTGGCAAGAGCCACGGAGGGGAAGGCCGTCTGTGGCCCGGTCAGACCGCGCCAGGCTCCAGCCTCCCAACCAGYGGAGACCTGTGCTGTTCAAGTGCTGTCTGTGGTCATCTGCGGCAGAGGAGACAAATGGAGACGAGGTGCGATGGTCCCTGGGGTGGGAGAGGCAGGGACATGCTCATTTCTAACCTTTCCATTTGTTTCAGTSGTTACTATTATTTTTGTGGTGTTGGAGGTCAAAGCCAGGGCCTCACCCAGGTATGGGCAGGTGCTCTACGACCACCAAGCTCCATCCCCAGCCCCTGTGAGAACGTCTTGAAAATGTGAACATGTCTCTTGTGTCATCTTTTGGGGGGTACCAGGGACTGAACTCAGGGGTGCTTGACCACGGAGCCACATCCTCAGCACTATTTTGTACTTTATTTAGAGACAGGCTCTCACGGGTTGCTTAGTGCCTCGCCGTTGCTGAGGCTGGCTTTGAACCCGTGATCCTCCCACTTCAGCCTCCCGAGCCGCTGGGTTTACTGGCGTGCACCACCGCGTCCAGCTCTTGTATCATTTTTTGAAAATGTTTCCAGTAATTAAGAAAGGCAGGGAGGAGCCAGGCAGGACAGCACTGCTCCAAGCCAGGAGAGCTTCGCTGTACCCTGCAGCAGGCCTCTTGCAGGGAGGGAAAGGGCCTCCTGGATGCAGGTGTTCTGGTGGGGGAGGCACGTCTGCCCTCTGAGCCTCTCTGCTGTGTCCCGAATGTCCCCTACTGAGGACCACAGAACATGGCTTAGAGCCCCACAGAATGGATTCCTTAGGAAGTGGATCTGCAGAGCCCCACCCTCTGAGCTTAGCTTCAGCCTCTCTCAAACTCACAAGACCAACCCACGAGGCTCCCTGAGCAGAGGGGCCTCTGGGCACAGGAGGACAAGGTCAGCACTGTTGGGGGAAGCCTGCATTCTTAAAGGGCCAGGCAGGCAGGCAGGCAGGCAGGGCAGCTGAGGGTGTGGGGTAACCGCAGGAGGTGCCCGTGAAGGACTCCTAGACGGGGAGGTGCTGCCCGACCTACCTTCCTGAGTGGCCCCAGGTCCCGGTACTGGCTGCACCTCTCCAAGAACACCAGGTGAGTGAAGAGACTGYGGCACCACCGCCCGGCGCTGGAGGGGTCTCCTTTGCCAGCGGAGGGGCTGAAGTCCCARCGYATGAAGCCAGGCCCCTYGAGGGTGCCGAGCCCCACAGGAAGGGCGCCCGCTCGGCCTGAGACACCAGGCTGGGGAAGCTTCCCCAGATGACACCTCTCCAGGGCCCGCTGAATATCTAGCCACCTCGTCCTGTGCCTGAGGGGGACGTGTGACAACTTCTCTTTCGCAGCCTTCCATCCYGACTACCTTCCTTCAGCTGAACCCAATCTGCCTGCTCCCCGSCCGTCCCATCCAGAGGACAGAGTGCCAGGCCTCCGGAGCACACAGGGGCGGATGGCCTGGAGCCCAGGTCTGTGACAGCCCAGGCCACGCCCCTCTATCTGGAAGTCAGAAGCCAGAGGCTGCTGTTCAAGCTTCATTTTAGTGGCAGAAACACTTTCCAAATGGAGCAAAAGCTGGTTAATGGCAGAACAGATGAGGCGGAGCACCTGGAGCTTCCTGCCCTGGGGGGGCCTCTGAGGTCTTCCAGGCGCCCCAGGCTGTGGTGAGGGCCCAGCCTGCCCCAGGGGCCCTGCCCAAGGCACTTTGACAATACCGGTTCCCCTGCACCCCCAGTCCTCCCTCCCCAAACCCAGGGACCCCAGGCTAGCCCTCCTCACCAGCCCCCACCCCACTCCCTCACTGAACTCGTCACCTTCAATTCGGCCTTGGGTGGCCCCAACTAGCACAGCAGCCAGCCTCGAGGGCTCCCCTTGGCCTGTCCAGGGCCCAGCCCTACAAGGCTCCCCTTTCAATGCCCGCCAGCCCACTGCCCTCCAGCTTGGCCCACTCCTTGCCTGGGCTCTGCCCTCTCCARACCTGCCCTGTCCCTGGCAGACCTCCCCAGGCCAACTCCTCAGCTTGTCCTTGGAGGCCCTCAAGAGGCAGCGGCCGGCCTTCCCCCCCACACCACTCTCACATCAGCGCCCGCCCCTCAGGAAGCCTTCCTGGATCCCCCTCGTGGTGACCTCCCCCTTCCCCTACTGGAAGCTTCCAGAAGGGTCCTGCTCCYAGGGTCTGGGACCCCAGGGTTCTTTTCTCCTCAGGCAGTGACGTGCTGACCGCAGACAGCTGATTATCAAATTTTTAGGAATTTTATGACTTCATTACTAAGCAAGACCATTTCAAAAAATTAAATTTATATATTCACCATTAAATTAATTACATTATAAACAAAAATACTCAGGATGTATCACTYCCTAATTGTTTCCCCGTGTTTATTAGCACGCGTACGTCCTCAGGGTGTGCCTGATGGTGCCAGAAGGGGAAGCGCTACCTWTCCTGCCGTGTTTCCTCCCAGACCCTCGCTCCAAGATGCCAGGGACTTGGGCTGGACTCGTGGCACTGGCCACATGGGAGTGTTACACCCCGGAAACCCGTACACGTCACAAGTCAGGGCTCAGGTTATTGCTTCATGGATCAACTACAGATTTCAGCCAGTGACGAGGAATGCGGAAAGGATGCAGGTTAGACTCTGAAATGTGTCATCGATAGCTTTGAATGCACACAGAACCAAAAATTGGAAAAATATTCTTAATAGAATATTCTCAGTAGAAACTATTATCTGATTCAGGAAAGAAGTCTGCTCACATTTACCAAGTTTCAATGTATGTCTTCTTATTCATTAGCATAAACCACATATCCATCAACACACACATTACAACTACACGTGGACACGGCAAGAGAAGTCACCGGAGCCCTGAGACAAGTCCATCTGCCATATGGAATTCATAATAAATAGTATCACATCATTTTTATTTGTAAGTTATATACTAAAAACATCCTTTATATGGGGAATATTTATAATAAATGTGTACACACACACACCTTTCTGGAGAGCTAGCCGTCCCAGTTGTGAAAATCAAGAGTTTCCAGACACAGCYAACTCTTCCTGGGGGACAAAAATCCCTCCCAGTTGAGAGCCGCTGTGCTGGGAGGACAGTGTGCTCCCAGAGGGCCACTAAGGAGGCCCRTGTCCTGCAGACCTCCTTGGAAGGCACAGGCAGGCTTTCCCTGTGTTTAAGGAACAACTCCCAGGGCCACTGGCTCCCCACTTCCCCAGGGTGATGCAGGGGAGGGGTCCAAGTGCAGAGTGTCACACGGGGACTCACACACAGGCTCTGCAGTCAGCTGGACCCAGGCTCAAATCCCACCTCTGACACCTGCAGGTCGGGTGACCTCGGGCAAGTCACATAACCTCTCAGTGCTCAGTGGCCTTGTCTGTAAAATGGGCACAGTGATCATGCCCACCAGCTGTGGGGAGATTAAATGAGATGACGCATGTCAAATGCCTCACAGTTCCAACGGGCAGGAAGGGCTCCCAAAACATTAGCTGTTTTCTGGTAACACAGCAACCAGGAACCTGCCCCCAACCCCTCAAAACAACTCTGCGCCCTACCTGGGAGATGTAGCCTGGGGGGACGTGGCCATCCTCCTGGGATCTGCGTGCATTCTGAGGGGTCTCCCCTCGGAGGCGCCATGCCTCCAGCTGAGCTCGAAGAGACTGGACCTATGGGGGAGGAGACCAGGTCAGCAGGCGCAGAAGCAGGAGGGACCTGGTGGGAGGCAGGGAGGGGCCCACAGGCCTCCAGCTTSCAGGTGCTTAGGAAGGGCTCAGGGGCTGAGAGGGACACGCAGCCCTCGCGTGGAGGTGCAGGCAAGGGGACGGTTGGGCTGTTTCCTGGATGGCCGAGTTCAGCCCAGAGAAGCCCAAGCAGGTTGGGAACAGCACACGGCAGGCACAGACCTTGCCCACACCGGGGAGGTAGCAGGGGCACCTTAAGTCTGTTTCGCCACCAGTGAAAGGCCCGCACTGTGGCACTGTGGGATCCCAGGTTGCCCGGCGACTGAGTAACCAGTGAAGCGGACCCAGGACCAAGGACAAGGCCTGGGGTGTACAAGATGCACAGTTGGTGACCTCTCTCCACCTCCATGGCTTAAAATTCAGGGCAGAAGCGGAAAATTTACACGCGACTACCGCAGCCCAGCCTAGGCAGGGGTCCCTTCCCGGGAAGCGGGGCATCAATCGGGCGACCSCCCACCCTGGGAGCTAGGCCAGAGCAGCGCCAGGGCGTGATGTGCGTGGCGTGCATGGTGGGCACGGCTGGGCAGGGGCCCACCTCCTTCTCCAGGGCCTCCTGGCTGTCGCTCGGAGGCCCGCGGCGCTSGCCTCGGCTCTGGTTGAGCAGGGCGGTGAGCGGCACCCGCTTGTTGTCCCGCAGGGGCAGCTTCTCCAGCTCCTGCCACTTCTTCTCGATCTCCTCGCTGAGCCGGCTCTGCTGGTCCTCCGTCAGCGGGGCGCCCAGGCTCCTGCGCGGCCCCTCGCCGGCGGGCACCTCGGGGGCCCGGCTGTCCTCAAACCACTTGCGGCGCTCCTCCGAGCGCTGGGCCAGGTCCCGCTCCAGCTCCTCCTGCTTGGCCGGGCGGTCGGGAGCGCGGGCCCGCTGCGGGGAGCCCTGAGTCAACGGGGACAGCTCCACATAGTCCAGGGCCTGCCGAGGCCCATCCGCCTTCCGGGGGCCGGCCCGCTGCTCCCCAGCCTTCAGGGAGCCCTTCTGGGAGCCATAGCCGTGCAGCGTGTTCTCTTTATTGCACTCCGAGAGCCTAGGCAGGGCACAGCGGGGCACTCTCAGGTGGGACTTGCCCACTCGGTCCCCCAGGAGCACTTTCGGAGGGCGGYTCAGGTGCCAGGAGCTGGACAGGGCCCAGGGGAGTAAGCAACCCAACCTGGAGGCCGAGGACCTGCGTTTCACTGTTTACAGACCCTGGGGGCATCCCAGCTCTGCACTCAGTGGAGCCTCCGTTATCCATTTGTAACACGGGACAGCACTGACGTGAGCACTTGGAGAAGAGTGGGACGCACCAGGAAGCCCTCGCAAATGCTGGCCAGTGCATTATTACCAAAAGCAAGAAACAAAAAAACGTGTAAGACAAGGCCCAGGGGCTGGGGCTGGGGCTCAGTGGTGGAGCGCTTGCCTGTGTGTGTGAGGCCCTGGGTTTGATCCTCAGCACCACATACAAATAAACAAATAAAATAAAGGTATTGTGTCCAACTACAACTAAAAAATAATTATTTTGGGCTGGGGATGTGGCTCAGCGGCAGCGCGCTCGCCTGGCATGCGTGCGGCCCGGGTTCGATCCTCAGCACCACATACCAACAAAGATGTTGTGTCTGCTGAGAACTAAAAAATAAATATTAAAAATTCAAAAAAAAATTATTATTTTTTTAATATTTATTTTTTAGTTTTATGTGGACACAATGCCTTTATTTTGTTTTTATGTGGTGCTGAGAATCAAACCCAGTGCCTCACGTGTGCTAGGCAAGTGTGCTACCACTTGAGTCACATCCCCAGCCCCAAAAAATAAATATTAAAAAAAAAGACAAGGCCCAGGGTTTAAGGGGCTCGTGGTGGAGCAGAAGAGGGGTGCCTGTGGTCACTACAGATGGGGTGAAGACTTTGGGACTTTTAAGTGACTGGCAGTTCTCTTCTTCCACAGTATAGGCGGGTACACTGTCACCCAGCCAAAAACTACACTTCCCAGCAGCCCCTGCAGCAACCCCTGGCCACGAGACTGCATTCCACCAGCAGGTGCAAGAAGCTGCTCCCTCTACCGGCTGGGTGATCCTGGCTCCTGGCAGGGCCTCTGAGCCACAGCCCAAGCTCTGCACAGAGGCTGCAGAGCAGCCCACCAGGCTAGACTCCACACCTTGGGGCTCATCTGGAGAACGGAGTGAACAGCTATCTGGCTTAAGCCACCGTGTCTTGAGTGGCTATGTCAAGGCCATAAGCCTGTATGCTGAATAACAACTCCGCTGCACTGGACCTGGGAGTCTACCAAGGCTCTGGGCACATCTGCACACGTGTGCAGACATAAAGCCCAACACGACAGATGACAAATCTGAAATTCAGATGGGAAGTCACTGGTCCAGGCTGAGCCGCCAGGGTGTGGCCAGGCTGGGGGACTCACCTCAGCCCTCTTCAATAGCAGKCTGTCTTCCTGCTGCCCAGCAGCTTCAAGTCCTGGCCCCACAGAAGGCTCTGCCACCAGATAACAAGAACCCCACCCTTCTACCCCGGCAGMCTGGAGCAGGGGCTCCCCACCTGGGAGGGGACTGCACAGACGCCAGAGGACCCAGTCTCTCCCATACAAAGGCGCAGGTATGGCCCCCAAGGCAGAGAGGGAAGAGCCACCTGGCAGGGACCTCTGACTCAATGCATCTCCTCTCAAGAGCTGAATCCCCTTCCCACTCTTACAGGATGTTGGGGACATGAAGGGGGAGAGGTCAGACTTCAAATCCTCAATGTGATTCTGGGCGAATGCCAAGAACCCCCGCTGTTCTTGCCTAGCTTATGTTTTGGTGCTGGGGGTTGAACYCAGAGATGTTCCACCACTGAGCCAATCCCCAGCCCTTTTTATTTTTTGAGGGTTTCTTGCTAAATTGCTTAGGACTTTAGTAAACTGCTGAGGCTGGTTTTGAACTTGTGATCTTCCTGCCTCAGCCTTCTGAGTCGCTGGAATTACAGAGTGTGCCACAGYGCCCAGCTCCCTATTTTGTTCTAGAGGTACCGAGGCCCAGGAGGCTCAGTCTCAAGGCTGTCAGGTGAGTTCCCAGARTCCCACTCCTCAAGATGTGAGGGTAGGAAAACCTGCCCAGCCCAGCCCAGCACTTACTTGGTGACATCTGGCGCTGAAGTTGGACGCACAGTCTTYCTCAGAGCCTCGATCCAGTTCCGCCGGATACCTGAGGTCATGGCCGACAAGGTATAGACAGCATCCTTGGTCTGCAATCCACACCACAGTAGGTTAACACGTGGTCAACCTACAATCTCCCTGCTGACCCAGGAAGGGTGGCCCTTCCTTCCCTGGAGGGGGTCTAAGGTGATAAGCAAAGGGTCTGCAGAGGGCGCAAACGTCCTCTACGAGCCTGGGCAGCCGCCCCTGGCACCAAGCTCTCCCCAGAACTCGCAGGTGTTGGCACCAAAGCTTGACTGGCTCTGTGGAGAGGGTCTCTGCATAAATGGGGGAGTCACGTCTGATACCAACACCTCCTCTGGGGCCGGCAGCCACGCTGCCCACCTCCCCACCTCCCCCAGCCACACGCAGCCTCACATGGATCTGGAAGCCATAGTTGCGCTGCACCGCGTACTCGGTGACGTCCGTGCAGGAGCGCAGGTCGATCTCGCCGTCCAGCTCATCTGCCTAGAGCAGAAGGCACGGCAGGGTCACATGCGCCCTGGGGAGTCCCAGTCTACCGAGCCCGGCTGGGGCCTGTGGGCACCCAGTTGCCTCACCTCTTCCGCTGTGGAGTCTCTGTAATACTTGAGGCTTGAATCTGTCAACACGAACCAGTGCTTCCTCCACTGTTGGGGAGAGGGGAGGTGAGAAGGGCTGAGGCTGCAGGAGGGTGGACCGAGGGGGCTGTGCGCRCCATCCTGCTGGCTGATGGAGGGGCTGTGCGCGCCATCCTGCTGGTTGACCCGGGAAAGCAGCCGGGTCAGAGAGTCAGAGCCTCAAGCACCTCCCAGGTGCAGATGAGGGAGGGGCGTGTCCTGGGTAAGGCCACTTCCTGGCCGAGTCAGGGGCTAAGTGCAACCAGAACATCACCCAGGCTTATTTCATACACCGTGATCAGGGACAAAGACTTCCCAGACAGGAGAAAGAGGCCCAGGGGAGGGGACAGAGAGCTGGGCACAGGCACCGTGTGAGCTCCGCCAACCTGTACGTGATGACTTGGGCATCTTTCTGTGGTGCCCATCTCCTCTAGTCCAGGGTCAGGTGGCAAAACATGATAGTAAGGGGCAGGGGCACGAGACACACTCTGGGCTTTGGCCTTTCTACTGGAATGCCACGGGCAGTCCGTGTCCTGCCAGGGTCAGTGCGTGTCGCCCAGGCCCCAGCCCTCCTGGGGCTCCCCATCATCAAGCCCTACCTGTGCTGATTCAAGCACTTAGTTTCCTTTCCTGTGGGCCATAGTCAGTTTTCAGGGGTGTCAAGGATGACCTCCCCACTTATTCCCACTCAGTATCTCCTGGGAACTCGGGTGTCACATCCAAGAACCTGGGGTGTGCCTGTGCCCTTGTTGGCTGAGTGCCTTTGTGCAGCTGTCTGCACTTCTCTGAGCTTCAGTCTTCTGGGGCTACCAAGAAGTCCCCAAGCCTTTGGCAAGGCGAGAAGTACCTACCCCTGTGTTTCTCACGGCACTTGGCATGGGCCTGGCCGAGGTTGTTGGGAGTGGTCCTAAGAGGCCACTGGCTCAGCCACCCTGCCCTCCCTACGTGGGACTTCAGCTGCCTCTCTGAGAGCGGCAGGTGCTGTGGCAATGGGGCTCTGGTCCTTGCAGGTCTGCTCTGAGATGGAAGGGAGGAGCGCCATGGGCCTCAGACCCGAGTTCTAGGCCCGGCCGCCCAAGGTGCTGCCAGGAGAGGAGGGGACCACCCCCCTGGTGGGTTCTCCTGCCTGGGCACCTAGGGACTGGGCTGGCTGGGCTCCCAGGGCCCTGCCAGCTCGGACATTCCAAAACCCTGTGAAAGAGGATGAGTAACAGCCAGTTCTGGGCGGGCCCATAATCCTCCTGCCCTCGGGGACCCTGGGTGGGGAAGCCAGGAAGGGTCACTGGCAGGGCGCCAGGCCTTGTGTGAGTCTGGAAAGCAGCCACGGGAGGACAGCGGGCAGGCAGCAGGGACGGAAGGCTGTGGGCTGGAGGGAATAAAGGATGTGGGCAGGAAACACAATGAGGTCCCCCCTGGCCCGGAGCCCTGCCCGGCATGCGGGCTACAGGCAGCCCCGAGCCGCAGGCGCACGCAGACTGGGGTAGGCTGTGTCCCCCGCCAGGCTGGGTGGCGGGGAGCCAGCTCTCACTCCCAGGCAGGCCTGGCAGCCAAAAGGGCAGAGCTGGTGAAATGGTCACTGTCCTCTCTGGTTCCAAAGACAGATATGACAGAAAAAGGTAGGGGTCATCAGCTGAGACCCCAGTAGGTGCCAGGGCTGTGGGAACTTGTCCACGCTTATCTCTGTGCCTCTGTGTCCACTCAGTTCCCACCACGGGTATACCCCAGACGGAGCTGCTGAGGCCTGGAGAAGGCTCTGGCTCCACCAGCGGGGGCCCCAGGTTGGTGAGACTCCTGAGTTGTGCTGAGCCCCACCCTACGGCTGAGTCTTGGGGATCTGCATGTGTCAGGCCCGGGGATCTCTGTGGACCTTCCTGCCTGACCCCGCGGGGTCCCAGTCAGAGTTACTGTGAGGGGGGAGGACAAGCGGCCCCTGGTGAGACCAGAGGATGGGGCCTGGTGTGTGGACCAGGAGGCCTCTACTCCCTCCACTCCAGGGGACCCACATACTGCAGATCATCCAGGAGGACAATGCCCACTCCTCCCACCGGCACGACCCAGGCCCTCTTCTCCACTGGACAGGAAATGTACCCCAGGGTTTTTGCTCTGGGCCCCACTCCCACCCCCAGAGGCCGGGGCTCTAGAGGGCTGGGAAGACAGGGAGGCCCTGAAGAAGCCCAAGCCAGCCTCTCCCCCGGCCCGGCCCTCCTACCTCTCCAGGCTCATCCAAGATCGACATCCATCCCTTCTTGAAGTTGAGCAGGTCGGGCTGTGGGGGGTGAGGAGGCAGGGGGTCAGGCCCAACAAGAAGCCCCCAGGCTGGGGGGGGACAGGGTACTATACCCACTGCCCCAACCCCGGTAAGGTTGAGGTCTCGAGAAACCAGGAGAGGGCTGAGGGCCCAGGTAACACCTACCCCACATGCAGGTGGGCTCCCCACCACTGAGGCAGCCTGGCCCCTTCCCCAACACCTGGCATGAGAGCCCAGGGAGTGGCCAGTGGCTGATATACACCACCCATGTCCACGCTCCCCTCCCACCAGCCTTCCTAACCCAGGATGGGGAAAGAAGGGGTGAGGGGACTCTGCCTGTAGAGTCTCCCAGGGGCTCAGAGGACAACACAGAGCAACAATGGAGCAGGCTGTCCCTTCCTCTCTGACAAGGCTGAGGCAGCCCAGGTGTGCACCTTAAAGCTCTGTCCATCCCTTGCTCCGACCCTCTAGGGTCCCCCTAGTCCCACCCTCTACTCATCTATTGGAGACCCTTAAAGACGGAGCAGTCCCAGGCTGGGGTCAGAAACCCTCTGGTCCCCAGGTCTCTTTGGGAAGGCCCAGCATCTCAGTCCTAGCAAGCCCTACCTGCCAGGTGCTGCCCAGTGGGGCCCGACCCCGGGGCCGGGGGGCTCCCAGCTGCAGCATGCTCCCTGGGGAGCCTGCAGCTAGATACCCCACTCAGGCCTACAGGAAGAAGCTGCACATCCGGGCATATCCCTGACCATGTCCATGTGAAGGGTGCCAGCCTCCAGCCCGTCCCTGCCTGTAGGGGTCCTCTCTTGTTTATGTCCTGGTCCCTCTGCAGTCTCAGTCCCACAGGCTGGGAGGCTGGCAGACAGGGAGGAGGCAGCCACCTGTTGCCATGGCTCGGAGCCCACCTATCAGCACCTGCATCGCAGCTTACCAGCCGAGGTATCTGGTTGCCTGGAGGGAGCCGGGTGGCATGGCTCTGTGGGGTGGGCGGCGACAGCTGGAAACCAGAGCCACCTGACCTGGCCACCTCTCCTGACCCGTCCTACTCCCAGGGAGCCCTGCTCTCCTCAGGTGGAGGAAGCTGGCTGAGAGGAGCTTGGGCCAGCAGCCTGGACATCCAGAATTATCCATGGCCATGGTCAGGGGACCTAAAGGCTGGCGGCCTCACCCTGCTACCTGTCTGAGCAAGGAGACAGGCTCTGCTCTGAGCCAGGAAGCCCCAGGGCTGCTTTGTCCTGTCTGCTCTGTGTTCTGCCTGCCCCGTCAGCCACCTGTCCCAAACCAAGCCTGAAAACCAGTGACCACACTTCTACTTCCCTTCAGACCCTCCACGGGCCACAGCAGGCCTCAGAAAAAGCTGCCAATCACACCTCTTCTGCCTCCCGGCCTAAATTCCTGTGCTTCAGGGCGGGGCCCATGGAGCTGATCCAGGGGAAAGCCCCAGGGGAGAACCCCTGGGTGGGCTGAGCAGAGGACAGCCAATCGGACCCAAGAGGCTGAGCCAGGGATCCCCCCACTGCAATGACAGGCAGGGGCTCTAAGGGTTGCCTGGAAAGTGGAACAGCTGTGACCTTTCTAGGACACATCCCTCTTGGAGCCCCGGATGCCTGATATGGCAAGTGACTAAGGGTCCTGCCCTCCCCCAGCCTTCCAAGAGGCCGGAACCTGCCACAGACAGGGCAGCCTGGTGACCCTTGAGAGATCAGTACAGACCAGTACAGCCATGTCAGGCACGACCTAGCACGGCGACCTGCGAGAAAGGAGGCAGCCAAAGCAAGTTTTTTAAATCTCTGGCACAGAAACCTAGGGCCAGGTTCAAAAGGTAAGGCCAACTCCATTTCTCCTGTTTTGCCCTGGCTCTGTGGCCAGTCACCTTTTGGCACTTGCAGGATGCTCAGTGTTCCCGTTGTCCTTTCGGAAGTAGCCACAGGCTCCTGCGGCTGTCCTCCCAGACCCTGGCCACTGGTCAGCCCTGCCTCCTGCCTGGACCAAGGCCACGGACCCCTCTAAGCACACTGCTCACTCAAAGAGGCCTAGTGTCATAGGGCTGCTTAAGACCTGCAGGGTTGGTTCCAGGTGTCTCCAAAACAAAGTATAACTGCCTCAGGATGTGACAAAAGCCTCCACCTGCTGTCCCAACCTGGCTCCCCCAGCCTGGGCACCCACATCATGCCAGGCCACCAAGCCCTTCACACCTGCTCCTGTCCTCAGCCTGAAATACTAGGTGCCCTCGTCTGCTGGCCAAGCAAGTCCCCACTGGTGCCTCAAGAGTTGCCCTAACTGTCACCTCTGAGGCCCCCTTCCCCATTCTTAGCACCCACCAGCCACTCATCCACAGCCCCTTACAGAGGCCCCACTGTGTCAAGATTGTCTTAAGACCTTTACTTCTCCCCCTGGTGGGCTGCTCACCCAGACCCCACTGGAGCTCAAAGAGTCTTTGCAGGAAAAACAAAAAGCACCCCCTTTTTTTTTAAGCACCAGGTACTGTTCTAGGGCAGGAAGCCAGCTGGGAACAAGAGCTGTAGCCCCTGCCTTGGCGGGTTTGAGTGGCAGACGGTAAACAAGAGAACAAGCATACAACTTGACGCCCAGCGATGGCTGGGGAGCCAGGCTCCTCGCAAAGCTGTGCTGGGACTAAGGCAAGATGGCAGACAAGGATTCCGACCCCAGGTCCAGAGCCAGATCACCAGCTCCTACAGCCTCTGAGCAGGTACTTGCCCTCAGTACTGTGCCTTCTGCTCGGTCAGGGGTGGGGGCCAGGGAGATGGGTCAGGCACAGGAGGGGCAGCTTGGAGCAGGCTCAGATCCAAATGGCAGCCAGGTGAGCACTTGAGCCCCAGATTGGTGACTAGGAGCCTGTCTCTGCTCCCAAACCTGTGATGGCTCCCCTTTCCCATGACCAGGCTTTCCTGAGCCTCCAGGTGCTCTTGCCAGCCCTCCTCTACGCTCTCAGCATCCCCAACACCAGCCTTCACCCACATGCCCCTCCCCCATAACGCGGCCCTCCTCCCCAGTCCATCACCTGACAAAGTTCTAGAATCACAGGAATCTCCCTCCCAAGGCCCTCCTCCCACTAGCGGGGAGGAACTGTCAGCTACTCTTGCTCAGCGGGTGCAGCGCAGGAACTGCAACCACACACATCTTTTATCTCTCCCTAGGAAAAAAAATGGGACTGAACTGGACACAAACTGTGGCCCAGCCATAGAGGGACCGCGGGCATGCTGCTTCACCTCTCCACAACTTAGCTCTCTTAGCTGTCTGATGGGGACCACACCGCAGACCTTAAAGGCTCCATCTGGTAGGGTGAAAGCACCCGGTGCAGGGGCTGGCAGGCACCCAGTGGGCAGTGTAAACACCTCCCCCTGGCCCCAGGACACTGACTCAGCTCCTCCCCCCACGTCCCCCTCTGCTCCCTGACAGGGAAGGGGAGGCTGCTGTCGACAGGAAGGGCCAGCAGGGAGGTGGCAGGATGTGCAGAGGCCGAGGAAGTCCAGGCAGCAGCGCCAGGTCATCCCGCTCACAGGGGCAGGGGCCCCACATGGGCCCCGCCTCCATCAGCCCAGCCCACTCCTCACTAGGACTTCACTCACTAGAAGGTAGAATGCGCATGTGCCGTGCATGCATATGTATGTATGTGTGTATATATATATATATATATATATATACACACACACACACACACACACACACACACACACACACACACGCATGCACGCACGCGCGCGCGCACACACACACACCCTGCTCATCCTAACCCCAAGAGGGTCACCAAACTCTGGAGCCTCCCTAATGCACTAGCCAGAAATCAAAAGCAGCTCCACCCTCCCTTCCAGCACATCATGATCAGTTGGCCAGACTGATCTGGAAAGGGGCACTTCTTCCCTTACGTTAGGGGTAACCCTCAGGCAACTCACCAAGGCCCTCCCAAGCCTCTGTTTATCTTGCTGTGAAATAGGAACAATGAATTCAGTTATGAGGCTCTACATGATCGTTAAGGCGCAGGTACTGACAGCGCCTGAGTAGACCTTATCCCCCAGAGAAATACAACCTCCTGCCATCGTGCCCACCGCCCCACCTGCAGTGTCGCCCCACTCAAGGCCCCAGAGCCCAAGCGGGGGAAAGTATGTTATCCCGCAGCTTCAGAGCCACAGAATGGCTCCCAGGCCGTGGGGTGGGGCCGGCCGCCCTTCTCGCCCTCCTAATCTCGGGCCAGCGCGCACACGGGTGGCCAGCCTTTGCAGGCCAGGTCTGTGCGACCCAGTCAAGCAGCCCGGAGACAACCCAACCCAGGCCAGGCCCGTCTGCGCTCCTCACGGGCCGGAGCCCCTGACAACCCCGGGAAGTCGGGTCTTCTAGGGAGTCGCAGGGAAGGTGGGACAGGCTCGCTCGAGTGCGCCCGCCACTGGTCCCGTCAAGGCGAGCGGGGTGCCGGGGACGGGGAGCTCCCAGCTCCTTGGGGTCGCCTGGTCTCCTAGGGTAACGAGGGGATGGGGCACGGAGGCAGGTCTGGCGGCGGACACCACCTCCCAACTCTGGGAAGTGAGGAGGGGGCTGCCCGGGTGGGGAGCGGAGGGGCTCTGCCTCGGCGGCGGAGCGCAGGCAACGGGGCGCGGGGCACTCACCGTCATGGCGGCGCCCCGGGGCGGCAGGACCAGGCGGCGGGACAGAGGAAGGGGCTCTCGGTCCGGGCTCCGCGGCGCGGGGACCCCGCCGCCGCCGCCCCTCTCGGCCGGCGCCCGCCGTTCCTCTAGCCCTGCCCTTCCCCAGCGCAGTCCCGGCCCCTTCCATCCGCCCATAAAACTTTTTTTTTTTTTCAAACTTCCTGGGAGGACCCGGGCGGGCCAATGGGCGGCGGGAACGCCGGGACAAACAGCGGCGGGGGCGCGAGCGGACCAATGGGGCGCGGGACGGGTCCGGGGGCGGGGCCTGCCCGAAGGGACGGGCGCGCGGGGGCGGCAGGGCGGCAGGCCCGGCGGGCGGATGGGGGCGGCGGCAGGGAGCCACGAAGGGCGGGTCCGGCTCCGCAGCCGGTTGCCTGGCGGAAGGAAGAGCCCGGCGTGCAGGTGACTCCGTCCAGCCACTGCTGGGGCGGGAGCTGGGGGTGGCCTCCTCGCCGCCCTGGCTACCCGCAGCCCTAGCCCCCAGCTAGGGGCGTTGGGCCAACTAGGTCTCCGCGCCTTGATTGGATGGGGACGTGGGCGAAGCATCTAGCCCTAACGACTCGAGGGGCACACCTGTTACCTTGTAAACGACTTTTGTCCTTACCGTAGACCTGAAGGGGAGTGCTCCTTGTCTCCATTTTACTAATGAGAAAACGGAAGCTTAAAGAGGTGGGCCAACTTGCCCAAGGTCACAAAGTAAGACACAGAATTGTTAGTAGGTAAGATGGCACGCAGACTGAGTTCTGGAATGGTAAAGGCTTCCCCAAATGCTCCCTCCTGCCAAGCAGATCCTTCTCATTTTTGGTTCTTGAGGGTGGGTGTACACCCCTCCATCATGTTCCCAGAGCTCTTGACAGTTAAAGGCTCTTTGGCTGCAGATCTCATCTGAGGCCTGCAGATGAGGAGTCCTTGGAGGAATTTCTTGGCTACTGGTAGCCTGCGTAGCACAGCCAAACTGTTACCTGAAGAAAGGCACTGGACTCTGCCTCAGTTTCACCCGTTGTAAATGGACTAATGCTATTACCTCATCTGGTTGAGATGAGGATTAAGCTTTAATCCAAGTAAAGCATGTGAAACAACCTCTTGATCCCTACTTAGCCCTCCATAGGTGGGAGGCATGGGAGGCAAGGGAGCCTGGATTACCCACCATTTCGATTCATCTGACGACTTGGGGTTAAAAATGATTGCCTTGTGGGGCTGAGGTGGTAGCTCAGTGGAAAAAGTGCTTGTCTAGCACATGTGAGGCACTGGGTTCAATCCTCAGTAACATATAAAAATAAATAAAGGTATTGTATCCACTTAAAATGAAAAAAAGATTTTAAAAGAAATTATTGCCTTATAATGACTATCCCCATTTCACAGATAAAGAAATGGAGGTCCATGGGCTGGGGATGTGGCTCAAGCGGTAGCGCGCTCGCCTGGCATGCGTGCGGCCTGGGTTCAATCCTCAGCACCACATACCAACAAAGATGTTGTGTCCGCCGAAAACTAAAAAATAAATATTAAAAAATTCTTTAAAAAAAAGATTCATGAAGCTTTTTGACAGAAGTGGTGATAGAAAATATATTAGACCTTTGTTGCTGGGTGAATACAGGGATGAAAGGATACAT